CCTGGACTACTCCCGGTGGTTCTGAGCCCACAGCTCACAGACCCTGCTCCGCATTCTCTTCCTACCTCCAGCGGAAGACAGAGATGTATTCAACACAGACTCACTACTGACCAACTCCACCTTCACTATGGAAAAGAAGAAAAGATCAGTCGTGTAAGTTGCTTCGTGTCATCTAAGCAGAGCAGTGTTCTGGCTGATGGAGCATGTGCCAAGGCTCCTGCCTCATTATATGGAAAATGGAACACAGAGGCAGTGGCATTATGGCAGGTGTTATGATGGCCCCATAGATTTAAATCACTCTATATATGTCTTTTTTATAAGAGGAATATAACTTTTATATTTTAAAGAATAAAGATGGCCACATAGCTTTCATCTACAAAACCAGCTTTGCTTCTCACATCCAGCCCTTTGCTTACTTTGGCTGTTCCTTATCTGGTGAAGCTGACCAACAGATACAGCCCACTCCAAAAGAACAGCCCTTTCTGAAAGAATGGGTGACTTGTACGTGTTCAAAATCGAACATCAATCAAAAGAAACAAGAATATGGTTTTGTGACTTTGAAAACATGTTTTTTGGTAGTTTCTGCTAAAAAGAAAAATGCCCTCAAATTTTTTTTGGCAAAATTGTTTGTAACTAATGAAATTGATCTTGAAATCCTTGACTAACAGAGACTATGTTACAGAAAAATGTTTTGCCCATAAGACCTATTCAAAATAATGTAGGTAACATGTGGTTGCTTTTATTCATGCATTAATAATAATGAATACTTTCCTGTATTGTTGAATTCTCATCCTTAGAAATATTATTTAGGAGCAGAGAATCCACAGGGAAAAAAATAAATTGTTGCACCGAGTATCTCTTTGAAAGCACAAAAAGACTCTGTCGTGCAGTTTCACAGAGGAGGCAACAGGAAAATCAGCGGGCCAGGGCGAGTTTCCTGAAAGTGGTGATGAATTCAACCACAGGCTACCGGGTTGCTATGAGGTGATGGGGCATCCCTGGGAAATGAAATCCAGGATTGTTCCTGAGCCCTATGGTCACTTTTGCACTCTGGTAACTTTCTTATTAGACTGTCATCATGTTAACTGCTTAGTGGCAGATGGCCCTTAAGTGACACATACCTCTGCTGTGGGGCCATACTGCTGAGTGGTGCTTGCCCTTTGCAGCCCATCTGCCCTGCCAGGTGTTTGTGAACACAGCTCTGATCATGCTGGGTAGACTATGTTCCCGGAAGTGCTCCCTTTAATCCCTGGTGTCAGCCAGCCCTTTACCAGTGGCGTTGATTAGCTCATTTGAGGATCACCAGAGGCTCCAAATGGAGAAATCACATTAATAATGATTTTGACAGATGTCGAGTTTGAGCTTCTGATAATTACTATTCCACCAACCAACTGAGACTCAGAACTGCAATTAAAAAGAAACAATCTCCCATGTATAATGGCTTTCACACTGCATGGTACTATTAAATAACCATCATTAGCTTCTAAAGTATGCACTACCCATTTTCCAGGGCCCTTTCTCAGCCAAGAAATTTAAGACCGAGAATGATCAATGAATGAGTCATCAGTGTGCAAATTGTTGATATAGGACATGCAAATTGAAATTACTCAGAATGATTTAAATGCAGAAAGTATTATTACAGATGATATTGCACAAATATTAAAAGCTTTTCTTACAAGAGGCCCCAAGTTGATTTCTTTGCCTCTACTGCTATGGGCTAGAAAAAAAGGAAGTACTATTCATGGAATGCCTTGGAAACATAAAACAAAGAGTTACTGGGCAATTTTCCATGTGTTTTGATGGGTGCTGAGGATATAATGATGTCAAAATAGCCCCTGTTATCAACAAACTTACAGATTTAGAAGGGGGCACAGATAAGCACAAAAAATCACAGCACAGTGTGATAAATACAGTAATCAAAGTAGGCACCTGGTACCTAACAGCACAGGGAAGTGTAGCTTATAGAAGAGAATTGAGATGGGGGAAGAAAATCAGCCTGCTTAAGAATCTGCAACTTCCTAATGTAGGACTTTTCTTTCTCCCCTTCTTGGAAGCCATCTTCTTTCACCACATCCAGAAGTGTTCCTCTCACAGAGGCATAGGAAAGATAGTAACCAAAGAAGAGAGGACTGGAGGACTAGTAACTGCTGTGGAAAGAGCAAGCTTATGCTAATCTTTTCAAGGTTTTACATTCTTTAGATACATAAATTTCTTTAAAAAGTTTTAAATAAAATAGGAAGATGTGGAGTCCTGACTTCTCATAGGCCATGTTCCCTCCACATCACAACAGTCCCATTATTGCACTAGCATTCCTGTCGCGTTTGTTAGAAAACGTTTACATCAAGTGGAGGTCTAAGGGGAAGGTGGATTCCTCACTGGGCTCTTGCTCTTAATGTAATTTAAAAACAACTGCAAATCACATGTTGTTTAGCCCTGAAGTGCTGCCTTTTGCTTGATTGTTTTGTTTGTTTATGAATTAGTTCACAAATACAATGTTAAGGAATACATGGCTGAAAAGATTTGAAAACACTGCATGGCTCATATCCATCTCAATCTCTTTTTATTGAAGTAAAATTCACATGACATATAATTCATAATTTTAAACATTTTTAAAGTGTATAACTCAGTGGCTTTTAGTATGTGCACCATATTGTGTAGTCACCACCATTGTCTTGTTGGGAACATTTTCATCATCCCCAAAAGAAATCCCATCTCCATTAAGCAGTCATTCCCCATTCCATCTTCCTCTCAATCCCTGCCAGCCTCTAATCTGCTCTGTCTCTAGGGATTTGCCTATTCTGGACATTCGCTATAAATGGAATCATGCAATATATGTGACCTGTCACCTTACACTGTGTGTGTTTTCAAGGTTCATCTATGTTGTCTCATGTACTGGTATGTCATTCCTTTTTATGGATGAATAATCTATTGTAAGGACATACTACATTTTATTTGTCCATTTATCAGTTGATGAATATTTGGGCTGTTTGACTTTTTGGCTAATATAAATAGTGCTGCTATGAACATTCAAGTACAAGTTTTTATTCAAATATCTGTTTTCAATTTTTTTTTTTGGGGGGGGAAGGGAGGCATTAATACCTATAGGTGAATTCCACTTATAGGGTCATATGACAATTCTATTTTTACTTTTCAAGGACTCACCAAATTTTCTACAGTTGTTGCATCACTTTTATTCCCACCACCAACATATAAGGGTTCCCCATTCTCCACATGCTTGACAACATTTGTTATTTTTTAAAAGATTTTATTTATTTTTAGGGAAAGGGGAAGGAAATGAGAGAGAAAGAGAAACATCAATGTGTGGTTGCCTCTTGAGCGCCCCCTACTGGGGATCTGGCAGGCAACCCAGGCATGTGCCCCGACTAGGAATTGAACTGGCAACTCTTCGATTTGTAGGCCCACACTCAATCCACTGAGCTACATCAGCCAGGGCTACTGCTTTCTTTAAAAAAAAAAAAGAGTTATAGCGACCCTAGTGGGTAAAAAGTTATATCTCATTGTCAATCTCTTTTTATGGATAAATAATTAATCATAGAAACCACTTCAGAAACTGAAAAAACATGTTTATATCAGGTCTTAATTTTTCTCCTTTTATATATGATGCTACCACGAAATGGAGAGCTTTTCCTAAGATGAGCTGCAAAGTGAACATATGAAATTTTGAGCAACAGAGCTATTTTACTGGTTCCCATCACCCAGTCCCCGCTAAAGCAAGCATGATTAACACCCAGGTGTCTAAATCATGACTGTCGAAATATCAGCCCCCTGAGGAATAGCCAGGTGTCTTTAGTCAGTGATTGCCAAAGAGGCATCTGAACTATTATGAGTCTTGGCTAGTATTGTAAAAAAGCTTTTCTGGGGTTGGGGGGAAAGCCATTTAAAAAAACCCAACAAATGTTCATTTTTATCTCCATATGTGCTGTCTTTTTTTTAAGTACAACTAACCACCAATTCTACAGTCCATTTTAGATAAAGTAATTTGTTTAGATAAAGCAATGAATTAAACAGATTGGGTCTTATGAGGTTTCAAATTCCTTCCTAGCACATTTTGCATTAATGATTCAGTGTTCATAGCACATATTCCTGTGAGAGTCTGTCATCATTAATTTTATCTCTGATTGCTATAACCAACACACTACAAAAGCTATTTTTTCCGTCAGAGCACTTAGTTTTGAGAACTAAAACACACATAAATGATGACCCTGATAAAGCAAGGGGGCAATAAGAATTGTACTTTTTTTTTTTCAACTTCTGCATCCGTTTTTGCATTCTGGACTGTGATACAAATGCGATTTAGTTCCTGTTTAAGTCTGCCTCTTCTCAGTGAAAATTCTACTGATGGGAGGGAAAGCTGAGGCTCTCAGTGCAGTGGGTGCCTCCAGTTGAGAGGAAGGAGGAAAAAGAAGCTGGAGACAAAGCAAAGCTTGAAAGAGGCCCAGCGCTAGGCTGCTGCAGGTCAGCCTTCCTGGGTACCTGCACGTTTCACGTGATACAGGCTGGAAGGGATCTTGAAACAACGGAGCTGGGTGGAGGGATTCTTCCTTGGATTGAAACGATAGGAAAACCAAAGGGAGCCTAGGCTAGGGATGGTGGGCAGTCCCAGAAGTTGTTAAAAATAATAATAGTTCAACTATATATATATAATTTGGGCTTGCCTGATTTTTGCATCTTAAAGGTTTAGGCACGTAAACTGGAGCCGGTCTCAGGTCCAGAAGTCTTGGAAAAGGTTGAAATCCTGCATCTCATGGGAAAGACTCGAAGGTCATCCGGCCATTCCTGGAGTTGAAGACAGGTCTGGTCACCTGTATGACCAGCCCCGCGTGGGCTTAGAAGAGCTGTCATTCCTGCTCGCCCGGTCTTTACACTTCTCCCTCAGGTACAAAGTACAGCAGGGACGCAGGCGGAGCCTTTCCTAGCGGCGCAGCCGTATCTTTACCCAGTGAACACCTAGATGGATTTCCAATACCTAGCCTGGCACGTTCTGGAGCGAGCCTCAGTCTCCTTCTGCGCTCCCTGCCGCGCGCCCTCCTTTCGGCAGTCGAGATTCCTCTGGGAGACAAGGGGGCTCTGGGCACTACACGCTTTAATAAAAGATTCGCCGTGCTTTACTCAGGTCCCTGAACATTCCCGCTCGCGAGGAGCTGCTTGCTGTGATGTAACGCAGAAACCTCTATCACACGGGCTGTTGTTGTCCCTCCTCTCAAGGCTCCCGGGTTAGGGCCAGTTTTCGTGACTCCAAGAGTATCTGCGTGGGCGCCTGTGTTGGGGTCCCTCCCAAAGACAGGAGTTGGACCGCGGAAAGAACGTCACTGCGCCACGAGACAGCACAGCACTTTGGACCGGCCATCTCCGCGTGGGTCTGGAGGTAGTGCGCCCTAGGTAAGTAGAACTGGGAGCTTCTGCTGCGGGTCTGAGAAGCAGGGCAAGCGGGGGCAGGAGGAGGGTGTTTGGATCCGGGATAAATGGACCGGAGTGGAGTTAGGGTTCCCTCGGGGTGGGGCAGCAGCTCTGGGTAACTGAGACGAACTCCAGACATGTATCTATGGCTGGGGTCCGCTTCAGTCTTTGCTTTGGATATGATCCAGGTGGGATGAGACAGAATCCACACCTTTGGTTCGCATCCACCCTGCGGGAAGTCGGAGAAACTCCCCAGGTCCTCCTGAGGGACAGAAAAAGGGTGCTGCAGGGGAGCCCCGGAAGCAACTGCTAGCAACTGTTCTGGTTGATCTGAGCGCAAGACTGAGAAGGGAAAAAAAAAAATAGGCGAGGGGGTGATAAGCCTCCTATATTGCCTTCCGCCCTCTTTCTCCCCCCTTCCCTTTCGTAGCTGCTGACGCACTGGTGGTGCTTATTAATCATTCACCAGTCCCGAGTCGCGCCAGTTAATGGCTGTGCGGCGCAAGGCGCCGGTCTCCCTGCCTTCCCTCTCCAGGCTCGCGCGTGGCCAGGAGCCCAGAAGCCTAGGAGCGGCAAGCTGCTGCGCGCAAGCAGAGGTTGGGCGATGCGCCCCGCTGGCACGAGTTAAAGCCGCGCTCCCTGCAACCGCTGTGCGCTACCCTCAGGCGCCCGGCGACAGTGAGCTGCGGGCAGTCAGTCGGTCAGGGTGCCGAGTGAGGGCGCAAGCGGTGGGGGCTCGAGAAGAGTGCCCAAGCTCTAGCAGCCCCATCGTCCCCCATCAGATGAGATGTTCCCCAATGGCACCACCTCCTCTCCCTCCTCTCCTAGCCCCGGCCCGGGCAGCTGTGGCGAAGACGGCGGCAACAGGGGCCCCGGGGCCGGCGCTGCGGACGGCATGGAGGAGCCGGGGCGAAATGCGTCCCAGAACGGGACTTTGAGCGAGGGCCAGGGCAGCGCCATCCTCATCTCTTTCATCTACTCGGTGGTGTGCCTGGTGGGGCTGTGTGGGAACTCCATGGTCATCTATGTGATCCTGCGCTACGCCAAGATGAAAACGGCTACCAACATCTACATCCTCAACCTGGCCATTGCGGATGAGCTGCTCATGCTTAGCGTGCCCTTCTTAGTCACCTCCACGTTGCTTCGCCACTGGCCCTTCGGCGCGCTGCTCTGCCGCCTGGTGCTCAGTGTGGACGCAGTGAACATGTTCACCAGCATCTACTGTCTGACTGTACTCAGCGTGGACCGCTACGTGGCCGTGGTGCACCCCATCAAAGCAGCACGCTACCGCCGGCCCACCGTGGCCAAGGTGGTGAATTTGGGGGTGTGGGTGCTATCGCTGCTGGTTATTCTGCCCATCGTGGTCTTCTCACGCACAGCGGCCAACAGCGATGGCACGGTGGCTTGCAACATGCTTATGCCTGAGCCAGCCCAGCGCTGGCTGGTGGGCTTCGTGCTGTACACATTTCTTATGGGCTTCCTGCTGCCCGTCGGGGCTATCTGCCTGTGCTACGTGCTCATCATCGCAAAAATGCGCATGGTAGCCCTCAAGGCTGGTTGGCAACAGCGCAAGCGCTCAGAGCGTAAGATCACCCTGATGGTGATGATGGTGGTGATGGTGTTTGTCATCTGTTGGATGCCTTTCTATGTAGTGCAGCTGGTAAATGTATTCGCAGAACAGGACGACGCCACGGTGAGCCAGCTGTCGGTCATTCTCGGCTACGCCAACAGCTGCGCCAACCCCATCCTCTACGGCTTTCTTTCGGACAACTTCAAGCGTTCTTTCCAGCGTATCCTGTGCCTCAGCTGGATGGACAATGCCGCGGAGGAACCGGTCGACTACTACGCCACCGCCCTCAAGAGCCGCGCCTACAGCGTGGAGGATTTTCAGCCAGAGAACCTGGAGCCGGGCGCCGTCTTCCGTAATGGCACCTGCACGTCCCGGATCACGACTCTCTGAGCCTGGGGCCACTCAGGAGCCCTGCGCAAAGGGAGGGGGGAGGATAAGGAGAAGGGAGGCCAGTTGTGAGAGGTGAAAGCATCCTGGGACCAGGGTACGATGGGGCAAAATGTGGCTAGGACTCTATGCTTTGGGCTTGAGAGACTGGAAGGAATGTTCGCGAGGAAGGTGGAATTGGGCGTTTTGCTCGCAAACTGGGAAGGCTTGAGGGCTCCCTTCTCCACTGTTTCCTACTCTCCCTCCTTCCTACACTGCGCTTGTACTTCTGCACCCTCTAAGCTCCCCACTCTGTAACTCTGATATTTCTTTCCGCCAAGTCCTGCAGGTACAGATCATGAACTCATTAACGTCGCTAACTCAGGCTGACTCTCAGCCCCGCCAGCCGTCCTGTGTTTGTTTAAGCCAAGCCACGGTTACTGCCACGGGTTTCCCTAGGGATGAGTCCCAGCTGGCCCTCAGCCCCGCCCTGCCACCCCTTCACTTGCGGGATTCTGCCTGGTGCCCCTAGCGGAGTATCGAAACACAGCTTTCTCTGTGCACAGCTCTACTTTTAGGGAAGGCGGACCTGAGAATAAACTAGGCAGCTTGTCTTTTCTCCTACTCTCCGATGAAGACGCACCCCTCACCGAGCCCCTCCACCACTCTCACTGCACCCAGAGCGGAGCCAGGTGCTTAGTAAAATCGGTCCCGCACTTCGAACCCCAGGCATTGCGCAGTCCTCATTCAGTCCCCTATGTGGAGCCAAAAGGAGCTGAGAACAAGGACCAAGGAGGCTTTAGATTTGAGGTTGGGAGAGGGAAGAGGAGCTGTAATGGAAACCACCTTCTCCAGCCTGGCTCACGGCCGGCACTTTAGGTTTCGAAGACCAGCACTCTGGGACTCTGTCTGCATTAGGTCGAGGGAGGCGAGTCGCAATTTCCCTGGAGGGCCGCGTGGGAGCGTGGCTGCAACTACAGTAGGTTTTCTCCCTCACTCAAGCGTCTGGAGGTGCAGATCTAAGAGTAACATAACAACAGACTCAGTTTCCTGCTCCGGTTTGTCTCGAAGACCAAGCAGCGGGGCCGGGACCTTGGGTGGCGCCTACCAGAGGCTGCCAATCCTGACTGAGTCACCGCCACCTGCAGGCTGGAGAGTGGGCCCGTCCTGTCCGGCCCTTGAGGGTTGCCACCTTTCGAGCGGGGCCTAATACCTTATATTCTTGTTTAGCGTATTTATTTATTTATGCATTTATTTATTTGTGCTGGTTGAAAACGTCTCGACTTTCTTTTTCTCTACTTGCCTAGCCAGGGCTTCTTTCTTCAGGACACTGGGAGTGAAGTGGGGAGGGGACCTGGAGGGCCTCTTGCCCCAAGGCCCCCTCAAAACCTCTCCGCTTTGTTGAATCTTCTTTAGACGTCCTTTCCTCTAGTCTTTCTATTTTTGCTTGTATCCAGTGAAGTTTGGAGATTTTTTTTCATACTTTCTTATTAGTTTCTGGTTTGTCTTAGAATAAAAAATGATTATATGGATTAGCTTCCTCTCACGCAGAGTGGAAATTCCTGTACACCTTGCTTTCAATATCACTCTACATATGATTTGAATATATATAAATATATATGACATATTTTATATATATGTTTATATATGTTTGTTTATCTTGCTCCATTGTCATGAGTCCATGAAACAGTTCCCAAATATAGTGGCAGGTGTGAGGCTGGCTAAAACCCATTCAGATAAGGAGATTCAAGCAGCATCAAACTTGGAGTTGAGAAATCTGATGCAGACCAGACTGTAATCCGTGTTGAGGATGTTCCTGGTTATGTCATTGCTTCTTCTAGTTTTCAGCATAGGTGATTTGAACATACAGTCCTGTTTACATCATCATTCTTTTAAAGACATTGAAAGTAATTTGTGTCTGTGTTTAATATTACCAACTACACTGGAAGCCTGAGTAGGGCAAGGACCAATAATTTTACTTCTTTGTGTTTCCTGTATTGCTTTAGTATGTTGGCTTGTACATAATAGGCACTAAATACGTGTTTGTTGGTTGATTGCTTAAGTAAGCCAGAGTGTATTACAACTATTGATAGGGAGCTCTCAGGTTCTATCATTGACATGTACACGATGGTTGAAACCACTGTGGAAAAAAATGTTTCTGTATATTTACTTGCTTTAAGATCATTGTGCTTTTCTGAGAGCAGTAACTAAGAGTTAAAATGTCCCTAATATTTAGATTAAACTGATGAACAAAGTTGCTTTTGGCCCTAATTCAGAAAGTTTAGTTCTGTCCCTTGATGATAATATATATTATTACTCTTTTGGAAAATAGACTTTTAATGGTTAAGGACAATGAAATTTATAAATCAAAATCTTGACCATTAACCTCTTAAGAGAATACAAATCTAGTGCTCTTAACCTGTTGTCATTGTAATATTAATTAAATAAACAAATGCATTATGTTGTTTCAAGTTGTCTGACTTTGCCACTTGAATTATACTGTTTCAACAGATTACAAAACAAAACAAAACGCATGCACATGCACACTGGCTTGGTTGCTTAATGTTTCACTTAGATTTTAAGAAGAAAGATTTCAGATTATCTTTGGAAATTTTCACCAAGATTGAGGTTATACCTTGAATTTTCTTTTTAAGAAACATCATTTAGTTTACAGAGGGAGAGGGAAAAACAAACAAACTTTGAGTGATTACAAATAGGAAGCAGTGTACTGGGTTGCACTCTCTTTGGTTTCCTGCTGTCACCAAATGAACTCTGATGATATCTCAATGTCTCACAGATTAAATTGATGTCTGCCCTCATTTACAACCTGAGACTTTGTTGTGAGAGCTAAATAATTGCAGATTTACATGCCTGGGAAACATAATGGAAGAAAAGAGAAGGAGAGAGAGAGATTTCAACATAAGAGAAGAAAGACATATGTTATGCTTTGTTCAAGGATAATCATTTTCATTCCTAGAAGAATTTTTAAGAAGGTACTTGGAAAGTATTTTTAAAACAGACTTAAAAGACTTATTAGAGCAGTTTTATTTTCATAGCAAAGCGAGTAGAAAGGACATTCTTGCCAGGAAGCTTATATTAGTAATTCCAGAACTAGAGGTGGGGGTGGGGGTGGGGGGCAGGGTGCAGGGGGAGTGTGCTTCAAATACTTTCAAATGTCCTGTAATTCCAGGCTTTATAGTTCTATACATTATCTCCATATAAATAAAGGTAGCTGGACTTTTGTCTTTTTTATTATTTTAAAATGCTATAGCAAGGTGGCAAATTGAACTCATAACTTAGATGTGCAAAGAAAATATTTTGTTATTTTGGTTTTAACTAATCTGAACATTATTCCAAGCCCCTTTCAACTAGCTAGCTGGGAGAAAAATAAATAAATAAATATTTAAACATTCAATTGAGCTGATAATTTAAATAAACATTTTCAGAAATTTTCAAAATTTTATTTGAAAAATTTTAGACAGTCTCCTGGTGCCCTCCTTTTCCTCTCTCATCCCTCAAATGGCTTCAGAGTGAAGGGGAAGAGGCTTTATGCACCCTAGTGCAGAAAGGGATGGGGTCCTTGGGAAAGGGGACCTCTCTGCCCTTTGCTCTCAGGGAACAAGGTCATTTGTACACTTGGATGATTCCTGGCTGCAGTTTATTGAAATCTGCAGTTTGTTGAAATCTGAAGCCTATGATTTGATCTTTCAGTGTGGTGAAGACTGTACCTCAGCTCCCCTGGGCTGCAGCCCTCTCAAAGTCTTCCATCTCCCCCATACAGGCTGGTGGTCTACCCCAGCCTCTGCTAAGGAGTGAGCTCACCCTGCCACGGGTAGCCTCATGGTGAGCCTGTTGGCCCAGTGACTAGACTGAATCTAGTGTAGTGCTAGACTGGGGAACCTCAGTATCTCCTCTGTCTGATATCTTTTTCTGTAGCTCTGGCATAGGTCTTTGGCATCTCTCCTTACCTTTGTCAACTTAGCTTATTAAAAACATTCCACACGACCCACATCTCCTTTGCACTACAGGAGAAATATAGTCTTAGCCTTTGATGTGCTGAAGTCAGGAGAAAAGATTTAGCAAATTTCTGTGCAAACCCATCCCCACCACCTTACCTGATTTCCAAGCCTTTATGTGTTAATTAGCACTTGAAGATAAGCTCACACCTATCCTAAGGTGATGGACCTTACCTCAGGGAGAAAGATTGCAATGAAATATGATCTATGGATTAAGTTAAAATGTATCAGTTTAATGTCTATTAACTATTATTCCTCTTACTGGTGACCTCTGTTTTCGCAGGGTAGAATTTCATAGACCATCTTCTCACACAATACCCCCAAAATGATTATGTTAAAAACATTTTTTGAAAGATTTTATTTATTTTTAGAGAGAGGGGAAGGGAGGGGGAAAGAGAGGGAGAGAGACATTGATGCTTGAGAGATAGAAGGAATTGTTGCCTCTCACATGGGCCTCTATTGTGGACCCAATGCACAAACCCAGGCATGTGCCCTGACCAGGAGTTGAACCAGCGACCCTTTGCCTTTGAGGGCATGTTTGAAAACTTTTGATGCCTCACCCAATTTATCCTGACCATTGTAAGAAATGCTGAATGTACAATTTTGGCCTGAGAAAAAAGACAAGGATTTCTCTTGGAGAATGTTAAAGAAGATATATTTTTAAAAATTGTGATATATTTCCAATTTATTTTAAATAATAGAGATGTCATATTTATGTCAATCTTCTAAAAACATGATGCTTATATTTTGCAAATCCTGATTACTACATCACTTATTCCAATGTACCATATCAGAGAGGTTAGGTACTCAACTAAAATAATTGACAGATGTTTACATAATTGTTACAGTGGTGTATGCTTTAAAAAATAAAGTATTGCAAGCTTTACACTGTTCCCTTGTTGCACCATACACCTTTTAGCCAATGAAAGCCTTTTCTACATATTCAGTTGGTTATCTTGCTTTTCATTCAACACATTTCAGTTTGTTGAAACATGCTGTTCTTTAAAAAAGGACAGATAGGTTCAACATTGTTACATGGTTCCCTTAGACTGAGGAAGGCAAGTACAGAGATAATGTTGTAAGTGATTATTTACTATTGTCCTTTGGTAAACTGTTCACTTTGATAATAAATTTAATTGTTGTTAAAAGATCTGTTAAATCTTGTTAGCCAAAAGCTGGAAGTAATACACTCATTTAAGAATGGGACTACAGGCATGATCCCAAATTCTCTGGAATAATAATGAGCTCAACACTCTGAAAATAAATATCTCTTTAAACCAGATTGATTCCAGTCTTTAGTTTTGAGGGGACAAGAAATATAAAAGGAAATAAGAAGTGGAGAACATCTTATCTCTTCAGTGGAGTTCAAGTTGACACCCTTCCTCGTGTCCACGGGCCCAAACCAGTCACAGATGAAGACTTTCTGGACTCCACCTCCCCCCATTTTTTATCCTCCCACGATTTTAAAGTCAATACTCACATCCAGTTTTCCTTCTACTTTTATGTTCCTTAGTCTCTTCTGAAAGCTTTTTTCCTCCTACCTTTCTTTTAAACATTGGTATTTCCAAGGGCCAATAGTTGACTTATTTCTTTGTTTACTATGCTAGAGTAATTCTATTTCCATGACTAACACCTGCTGTTAAAGTAGTAAGTCAGCATGGGCTTTGGAGTTTTACTTGCTTAGGCTTTAAATCCTGGCTTAAACAGATACTACTTCAGTGACCCCATAGGGTTGTTGTGAAGATTAAATAAAGCATTTGGAACCCTCTTGGAACCATGCTTTTAATGTAATATATGCTTAATAAAATATTTATTTCATAAAAAAATTTAAGAAAGGATTACTATGTATCAGAGTTCATTTGGGGAAGGACACATAGAGACACTGGAGAATATTATGTACAGAAATAGCTCTGACTTTCACAGTGATAACACTTATATCAAAAGACAACTAATACCCCATTCAAATTTAAAGAGAGAGGGGAAAAATCCAAGATATGATAGGCAAGCCAAACATATTTTACAATAACACATGTGACTTACATGACTCTTCTGAGAAAGGCTGTCCAAATATTGATGAACAATAGCTCTCACTGTGTTCTTTCTGTCTCTATAACCCCTGAACAACTAATTAATCTAACTAATATTATTATCAGTAGCAAATCTCTATTCAAAGTCAGTAATTAAATTAAACATTCTCCTTCCTGTCCAATGAGCCACTGTAAACAGCGAATCAAGTAGATATTTGTATGCTTTTTTTAAAGAATCCTCAAGTTTTTCTACTGGGTGGGATTTGAAGTTACACACACACACACCCCTTAATTAAACAAAAGGAACTTCTTAGGTAATAATTAACGAAACAGAACTTCAAGAATCTGTTTTCCCCTCCTTTCCCTTTTAAGTTCCCATTTCCTGACACTTGTGTCCCCAGCTCTGAGCTTTTGTTTTCTGATTTTTCTAACTTCTCCCAGTACACCTCTTCTTGGAACAAGATCTCCTTTGGTTTGTAGTTTACATCACTGTTAGGGCTTCAGATGCTATCCTCCGGGTGCAAGGCTTTAAAATAAAGACATAGTATCGAACATTGGGCATCAGTATTCTTGAAATCACGCCTTTTTCTCAGGCAAATGTTTCTTAACAAGTGCTCCAGAATCACTCAAGAATTTACAGAAATGTATATTCTTTATGCTCTACCATAGAGATTTTGATTCATTAGGTTTGGAATGAGTCTTGAAATTTCTAAAGTACACTAAAGTTTGAGAACTAATGATACAAGTGTTAAGAGCACTGAGTTTATCATCAGCAGACACGGTTCTGCCTTATTTATTGTGTGATACTGGGCAAGTTAATCTCCCTAACGGATGTTTTGATTGTCTATCTGATCAGAACAATAACATCTCCTTTGTAGGGCTACCGTGATGAGCCAATGCATGTCAAATACCAAATCAGTCAGAACTCCTTTAGCAAATGAATGAAAACCTCATTAACTCACATAACTGCAAATTCTTGAGGAAGATCTGTCTTCAGGGTATACTTGATCTGTAAACTCAGTATGACCTTTTTTTCAGCCAACTCTTCTCATGTCTGACTTTTGCCATGTTGGCTCCATTCCCAGATTGGCTAGTCCTTTGTAATTATCATGCAGCAGCAGAAACTAGACCATGACATTTTTCTAGGTTCAAATTTCAAGAGCAAGAGTGAAAATAATTGTCTGTAATTGGACTGTTTAAGATGGCTCATCTGTTGGGAGGCACCTCTCCATGGGTCACTGCTCCTACGTCTTTCTAGATATGCCAAGAATATGAGGCGCTGACCACTCTCTGCCTGGATTACTTCTCAAGGTTGTGTTTGCAGCAAGAAGTCCTGAGTGATCAGGTTATATCTCCTTCAAGGACAAAGAGAAGGCTTGATTACAGCTTGACATAAAGTGGTGGTGAGGCGGACCCCAGCCC